CAAAATCAAGATCTAAACACATTCTACTGACGGACTACAATCTAGCTATTTTTTATAATAATTTCAATAGTTTAGATCATGAGTCATTTGAAGCTAGACTAACACCATGGAAAACCTGGAAGCACTGTAAGGCCGTTTCGTCCTATTGTGGGACTCCTCAGCAGTGCGCACCCATGATCCCGCCTCGCGAGATTCGAACCCAGAACTTATCAGTCTCGCAATCAAACACTTTACCTCTGAACCACTGAGCCGGTACCCAATGGTGTTCAACCAATACACGAAATTGAGCGAAATATCCACCATTGTCTTCAATGAGTTACTATATAACAACAGACCCGGTTGAACTTCGCTGATCACTGCTATTCACTAGAACTCCAAGAAATACCTAGTGGTTTGGCGTTCGCGTGCGAAACTGATAGGTCCTGAGTTCGAATTTTGAGTTCATTTATTTATTTATTTGAACACAAATATTAGTACAAGAGGTCACCAAATACATAAGCGCCACACAAAATTTTATTTGTATGTGGTCTGTGATACTGCCCGAGTGCCCAAACCAAACCAGGTGGTTTTCCCTTGGGGGCCACACTCTGAGCCTTTGACCTGAAGATCTGATCCACAAGGCAGTGGAGCATCGTGAGGAGATGCAGTCTCATAGTAGCCGATGACCAACGATTGGTTCATACACCACTTGTTCTATTGGTTTGGGATCCGGTTAAAGCGCCGAAAATCCACTTTTCGTCCTCTCATTTTCATAAACAACACCCTCGCCACGAGAAGTCAGTGAGTAGGACTTCCCTGGCAAAGGCTGTATACGTGTGACCGTGTGACAGCACTTCGAGAGGAAAGGCGGTCTCTACACACTCTCGGCCATACCCGGGCATTTGGGGGCGGGATCGTGAATGTACACTGCTGACGAGTCGCACAATAAGACGAAACGATCATCCAATGCTTCCATACATCCTTTGGTTATCTAACTTCAATGGACTCATGATCTTAACTATTGAAATCACGAAAATCTCCACCAAAAATACTCCTGATATTTTATAATAGTTCATTTGTTTCCTTTCAATATATGACAAAGAAAAAAGAAATAAAACAAAACAAAACAAGATACCATTCATTTTCATTGACCTATAGTATTCTATTACCAATGACCTTGAACAGATGATTATCATGAGAATCAAAATCAAATGATTATTTAATTTAAAAAATAAAGAAGAAAGAAAGAACGAAGAAAATACGCGCGAAAATAATCATTAATTATTTGCAATGACCCTAAAGAATAAATTATATCTATCTATCTATCTATCTATATCTATATATGCATATATGGCCTACTCTCTCTCGCCCTCCCTCTCCCTCTCTGAGAAACGGAACAAAAATTGGCTTGGTTTCAAGAATTTTTTTGGAAATGAGCGAGAGAGAGAGAGAGAGAGAAATTGTTTTACACTTCATTTTTTTTTCTTTAAAAAAAATTTAAAAATAAACAAATAAACAAACAAACCATATAAATAAATAAATAAATATGCATTAAGGTCATTCATTGAATATATATGTAACTAGTAATGACAGACAGTAGCAAGAAAAGAAAATAGAGAAGATGAACAAAAGGATTAAGAAAGATTTTGTATAATATTCAATCATTTAATCAAGATATATCAGTCAGGATGATGAAACAATCGATGAAGGAATGAAATTTGATCCGTTGAGATGGATGGGATATGTGTTAGATATATATGTTCAACAACCGAATGACATGACGTGCGATGTTTTATGTTGTAGGAGTAAGTTGGAAGAAAGCTAAGAGTGCACAGATCAAAACATGGTACAAATCCATGAAGTCACTGACAAGTGGACTGAGCCATGTTGGTAGGTGTAGAACATCTGGTTCCGGGGTTAGAGAGTTGATAACAACCGATGATTAGAGATTTTGAGTGAAATGGTTGAAAATCGTTTGCACTGACGCAGGTGCATCCATTCTTTGTGTTCTCCCAAATTCTAATCTACTGAATTCTTCATGTCCTTTTACTTGTTATCTTTCCAAATTTATTTCACTAGATTATACTCTTTAAATAATATCATCAAACCATAATCTTTCCGATTACTGTTTATACTTTTACTATCTCTACCACTATGGGATTTGAATCGATAACTGTATCTCTGTGATAATGTGGTATGGCAACTCGAACTGATGTACATACTTACGAAGTTCTAAGTTGTTGCTGACTGACTGACTGATCGTATGTACGTGAACGAATTCATTTATGTATAATCTAATTCTAAACTGCTTCTACATCAATGGAAATAGATTTAAGTAAGATACTACATTGCTTATAATACCTAATTAAATGATCAATTAGTCATGTACAAGGAGGCACCAAATACATATGCGCCACACGAATCTCATTTGATATGTATGAGGGCTGTGATACTTTCCATTTGTCCAAACCGTAGCAGGTAGTTCTCTTAAGGGGATACACTCGGAGCCTTCGACTTAAAGATCTAATCCAAAACGCAGTAAAGGAATGTGAGAAGACGTAGTCGCATGGTAGCCGGTGGCCAACAATTAGTTCATATACCATTTGTTCCTTCAGGATACTGGAGCCCATATGCAACATTGGTTTGGAATAAAGATTTTCCAATTCTCCTAGGTGGAATCTCCCTGTCTACCAACCCAGTTAAAGCGTCGGACATTCACTTTTCGTCCTCTCAATATCATAAATGATACAAAATAATGTTATAATACAATGTGCCATAATGTAATTGTTAACTATTTAGTTACTTCATCCTATTGAAGGTTACAAGATTTCAATTATTCATAGCTTTATCTAGTTGTTTTTTTTTTCTAACTAGGAAGTTCAATCTTCCTTACAAATTTTTTCTTTTCTTTTTTTTTTTTTTGTCGTAGAAAAAAAAGTCCATACCGCGACTTCTTTCCCTTCAATTATAATCAAGCAAAACTAATTAAGAATTCAAAACCAAGGAAAAAAATCGTTATAAACCTCTCTCTATACATACGGAACAACAACAACAACAACAACAACAAAAATCTTAATCTAATTGGATACAACTCAAAAATACTTTTAAATTAAGTTAATACTAAAGAGTCTTATAACTTTCGACTTAGTTACAAAACTATGAAGAAAAGAAAAATAAATACAGTTCAACTGTGTTATTCATTGATTTAATCAACTATGATAGGTATTCATATATATCAGTTTAGGGGGTTGTGGGGATTGTTGAGATTTAGATTGAGATCGTGAACCGATTGATGCTAGACCGCCACTGAAAACCTGGAAGCATTGGACGGCCGTTTCGTCCTATTGTAGGGCTCCTCAGCGGTGCGCATCCACGATCCCACTCGTGGGATTCAAACCCAGCGCGAACGCTTAACCCTACTGGACCACTGAGCCGGCATCCAATGGTGTTAATGTCTGACCTCAACAGCGGGTGGGGTCGTGGATACGCACTGACGAGTAGTCCCGTAATAGGACAAAACGGCCGTCCAATGCTTCCAGGTTTCCTATGATGGTCTAACATCAATCGGTTCATGATCTCAATCAAAATATTCATATATATTTGGTTTCTAGGGTCAGATTGAGGATCAAGTAAATTGAATGAGAGTTTTTCTTGCATCTGTTCGTTTCGATGGTATGCACGCAAGTTTAAAAATTTTAAAAAAATCGCCAGTACTACAAAACCTTTTATCAAGTTGATGTTTAGGAAAGTGTTATCATCACTGAAAGGAATTTAAAATGAGGTTCCAGTTTGTCTATAAGTTAAGCTTGTGAATGAGGTAAGTAATCAAGTGACATTTGTATGTTAATTAAAGAGATAATAATATAAATTGAAAAAGTCAACTGACCACGAACTAACTATACCAACTACTAAGACAAAACACGCGTCATGGATTCCACTTCTAGCCACTATCCATCTTTGTTTATACCAACACTACTTTAAAGTTGGGGAGAAATTGGATCATGTTACTAGAGCTTAGATAAAAAAATATGTGGCTTCAATCCTATTACACATAGTTGAACACATGATAAATGAGTTTTTATTTCACCAGGAGTCTCTTTGGGGATACTGCCGGTGCCAAGCCCGGATAAAAGGGTTTAGCATGGGGTTAGCGACCTCATCCCGTAGAAAACTAACTCGCTGATAAAACGCTAACCAGAAAAAAAAGATATGATACACATTGAGGGAAGCAACCAACTGCGTCACAAGGTAAGCCCTCACTTGGAATCCTCAAGGTCAAATGAAAAGAAGAGGACAAAAGAACACACTACTCCGAGAAATGTCAGCCAGTAACAACGTGAAACTTCGCACGTACGTACATCAGTTCGAGTTGCCATACAACATTAGCACAGAAATACAATTGTCAATTCGAATCCCATAATGGTAGAGGTAGTAAAAGTATAAGCAGTAATCGAGAATACTACGGTTTGAAGATGTTATTCAAAGAGTATAATCCATTGAAATAAATTTTGAAAGAGAACAAGTAAAGGAACATGAAGAATTCAGAAGACTAGAGTTTGGGAGAACACAAAAAGTCGATGCACCTGCGTCATTGCAAACGATTTTGAGCCATTTCATTCAAGATCTGTAACCATCGGTTACTATCGTCTCGCTGACTCCAAGAAATGGAGACAGACATGAGAAGAATGAACAAAATTCGGATAGAACTAGAAAGGAAGTCCCAGGACATTGTGGGTTGGAGAATGCTGGTTGGTGGCCTATGCTCCATTGGGAGTAACAGGCTTGAGTAAGTAAGTAGGTAAGGTAGGCTAAGAATTCGATCAATAACTTGAACATATGTGGTGTTATAAAATGGTACTAATTGAAATGCACAAAGCAGTTAAGGATTGCTAGTCGAATGTTACATTAGTTATCATTTCAGTAAAATTTATCATCAATAATCTGTTTTATTCAGTTCTATTTGTAAAGAAAAAGAAAAAAAAACAACAGTATAGTTATATAAATCAGTAGGCAAAACTTACAATGGATCTGTTATGGAAAATTCAATCGATTTAGGTGGACGTTTAGGAAATTGCCAAAATGGTGCTAAATAATGATAGAAAAATAAATTCGGAAAAATCTTTACTTGGAAACGAAAAAAACCAACAACAAAAAATAACAAATAATAAGTAGTGCAAAAATTCCATATAGGATCATAATGGAATATAGATTTCTAGTACACCTAGGGGGGGAGTTGGAAAACCTTGATTCTGAACCAATGGTCTACATGGGCTCTAGGATCCTAAAGGAAAAACTGACGTATGAACTAGTAGTTGGTCACCGCCTATCATGGTGAAGTTATTCAGTTAACAAAATCATCTTGAATTTATAAGGAGTTTCGTTTAAATTTGACTGAATAGCTTCATAGTATTTGGGTGCTGAGTTGATGCGGGACATTAAAGAAGTACTTCAAATTCATTCGCTGATATTTCACAAATACATTTTTCCTCTTTAACATCTGTAATTTAATATCATATGGGTTTTGTGGATATTATAGTGATTTCAATGGTTAAGATCATGAGTCAGTTGAAGCTAGGCCACCATGGAAAACGTGGTCCGTTGTGAGATAGTAACTCACTGAAGACAATGGTGGATGTGTCACTCAATTTCGTGGATTAGTTGAATTTAGAGATTAACACCGTTGGACGCCAGAACCAGTAGGTCCTGGGTTCGAATCTCGCGGGGGGCGAGGTCATGGGTGCGCACTGCTGAGGAGTTCCACAATAGGACGAAACAGTGGTGGTCTAGCTTCAACTGACTCATGAACCTAACCATTGAAAATCTGTAATTTAGTTTTTTTTCGTACTCATAGTGTAAGGAGCCAAGAATGGATAAACGATTTCATACAAATAAGAGCACCCAAGACTGACTAATCGAGTTTAGGTTTGTCTTCTGTTAGTTGACACTTATCCGACAGAAAAATTTGAAATCTTAGGAGAATTCATGCCGACATCGAAGACATTACCATTACTTTATATAGATCATATAACAGTTACCAATCAACGAATATTAAACAAGTTTGTGATGCAAAGCCTTGAAAATCGCTATATTTTTCTTGATCTACCTCCTATAATACTCACAGCTGACTTTCAACTTCCGTAATAATTTACACTATATTTGAATTATGAGCTATCAGTGAAATCTAGGATGTTCACTTCGATCAATTTGAGACTATTCAGGCGGATTACAAAAAAATGTCCCATTGTTGGTATTTAACATTGAGGTTCGAACCTAAGTACTTATCACTTTAAATACTACCATCAATAGCAGAAAAAGTTAGGCAAATGCAATATGACTTTAGAAAGGATGAATTTTTAGAATAGAAAGGAACGTAAAAAAGATGATTTGAAAGTTCAGATGGAGAGTGAATACATCTACACCACTGTAACTGATTACAGGTAAGGTTATACAATATCTCAATCTATTGATTATAACATTGGAAGTTTCATCAAACCTGATGAATCGGTTTCTGGAAAAAATTCTATACGGTCAGCCAGCTTACGTTAATGTGTCATAAACAAACTGTCTGTTGGTCAAACAAATGGTGTCTCTGCTCTTAAGCAGTTTGCTCCATTTTAATTTATGAGTGGTAAATTTAGTCTTCAAAAAATTGGATACTTGTAAGTTACTAGTATTTGATTATAGAATCCTTTCGAACAACTTCTTATGTATGTTGGGACTGCAGCTCTGGTATGGCCGAGAGTGGTGAGAATGCGCTATTCCTCTTTAAATGCTCTCATATGGCCAGGCGTATACAGCCTCTGCTACAGAAGTCCTACTCACTGCCTTCACGTGGCGGGAGTGTTGTCTACGAAATTGAGAGAACGAAAATCGAATGTCCGGCGATTTAACCGGGTTGGTGAACACGGAGAGTTCACCCAGGGAAGTTGGAAAACCCTCAATTCAAACCAGTGATACATATGGTCTCCGGTATCCTCAGGGAACAAATGGAGTATGAACCAATTATTGGTCAACGGCTAACGTCGGACTGCATCTCCTTACGATGCTCCACTACCATGTGGATCAGACGTTCAGGTTGAAGGCTCGGGATGTGGATCCCTGAGAAAACCACCTGCTTCGGTTTGGGCACCCGGGCAGTATCACAGCCCTCACACATATCAAATGAGATCTGTGTGGCGCATATGTATTTGGTGCCTCCTTGTACCAATATCTACGTGTTCAGATAAATAAATAAATAATATAATAATATGTTGGGACTATCTAATTAGCAACCCTAAGGTTATACATAAAGTACAAGATAAGAATAGCAAATCTATTGATCGAGTAATAAATCTGACTGAGATACAAATTATGTGCCCTCATCCACCACACAACTTCGACATCCGATGATGACTGTTGTAGGAATATGTTTGGACCTGATAATCTCAACCTACCAACACGGCTCAACCTAATTCTCAATAAATTTACAGACTAACGCTATATTTCAATTTCGCTATCCCTAGAATTCTTTAAACCTTCTCATACATCAAGAAACATCGTACCTTGAGATAAATGATAGTTATTTATTTATTTATTTTAACACATAGATATTGCTACAAGGAGGCACCAAATACATATGCGCCACACAAATCTCATTTGATATGTGCAAGGGCTGTGATACTGCACGGGTGCTCAAACCAAAGCAGGTGGTTGTCTTACAGGGCCACACTCGGAGCTGTCGACCTGAACGTCTGATCCACAAGGCAGTGGAGAATCGTGAGGAGATGCAGTCTCATGGTAGATGGTGACTAACAATTGGTTCATACGCCATTTGTTCCCTCAGGATACTGGAGACAGCCCATGTGCACCATTGGTTTGGGATCCGGTTAAAGCACCGGACATTCGATTTTCGTCCTCTCAATTTCTTAAGCAACAGTAATGCCACAAGAACCCAGTGAGTTGGACTTCCCTGGCAGAGGCTATATACGCGTGGCCATGTGAGAGCATTTCGAGAGAGCGAGCGGATTCTACCCACTCTCGGCCGTACCAGGACATTTAGGGTCAATGATAATTAGAAGCAAATAAAATATGTCTCAACCTTCTCAAATGATGAAAACCAACTTTCAATCAGATAATCATCATCACAAATGCAATAGAATTTTGAATGATCTCAAAAGATAGATGAATAGGTAGATAGAAACTGAGATAAAAATTAATGCCAGAGGGTAAAACAGATAGTGTATCTATGCGATAGAACTATATATATATATATATATATATATATATATATATATATATATATATATATATATATATATATATATATATATGAAATTGTCATATTTAATAATGTGAATAATATATAGAATTAGAAATAAAGGATGAACATTACACTCTACCAATAACAATGGGAATAACTCTAAAAAATATTTCGCAGATTGAAGTATAAATTGATCAACCATGGAACTATCAGAGGTCAGTTAAAATCTTTCTTATTATAATTAGATCATCCTCATCATCATTATGAATGTATATATGTATAATATGATTAATTGAATACATTCTCATCTCTCATTCACTACTTTAAGGAACTAGCAATTCATACAAAATAACAGACCCACACACACACACACACACAAAGGGAGGGAGAGGGGGAGAGAGAGGGGGGAAAGAAAAAGAGAAAAGTAAAGCAAGAAGAGACTAAAAACAACAACAACAAGAATCAGGAGAGATAAAATTTAATTATATCTATTTGCCTAGAATGAACCTTCTTTTTATTTCTTCTTTTTAAGGGAAAATAATTAAATGTTAAATGAGATGAAGAAATCAAAAGAACAATCAGAAGGAAAAAAAGGAAAACTTGACAATTATTGAATATTTAAATATATTAGAATAAAGATATTTCCTATGATGATTTTTTCGAATGGATAGTAACAAGAAAATAACAATTAGATATTAGGAAGTAATAGATAGTTGTTTGGAGTACTGAAGGGACGCAAGTGCATCCATTCTTTGTGTTCTCCCAAATTCTAATCTTCTGAATCCTTCATGTTTCTTTCTTTTTTCTCTCTTTCCAAATTTATTTCAATGGATTATACTCCTTGAATAACATCTTCAAACCCTAATATTCCCGATTACTGCTTATAGTTTTACTATCTCTACCACTATGGGATTTGAATCGACAATTGTATTTCTGTGCTAATGTGGTATGGTAACTCGATTAGATAAGCGATGTACAACTATACGTTAGGAAATCAGACCACAGAGAGACGATCTCTTAGTAGCTATATAATGCCTACAACGAAGTTAAATAAAATTGGAACGAATGAGAAAACCTGACGAAGCAAGGACAATAATAGTACGTTGGGGAATTGAAGATAGTCAGTAGAAAATCTTTCTTGGTCGATATTTCGTGCTATTTAGTGCTCGTAAGCAAGGCATACCATCAATCTTGAGAGGATTGATACTACTTTGTAGGATATAAGCCTAAAATTCGTAAATACAATAAATTTGAAGTATCTTAATCCTACAGAAGGTCAGCTACGGCATGAATAGCTATGAGGCTAAGTGATCTAGTTTCGTATCGATACCCTCAACATCTTTCTGACGAGTGCCAACTAACAAAAAACTTCTGTGTACCTTTAACCACTTAACATCTAAGTGAAATGTACACAATATCAAATCACTTAAACTAGTTGTGAACCTCTTAAGTTGATCGTTAGAGTTAGATCAGCAATGAAAAAAAAACACCCTAGCAAAAAACATGACTTCGCTTACCACAATAGTATTCAAAAGAGAAAGAACATTGAAGAAAATCTTATGAGGTTAAAATCATATTAAATCTTACCTCCATTTGATAATTTTGTATCCAAGGGGAAAGAATGTAACAATTGAAGAGCCTTGCCAAGGAAAAAAACAAAAACAAAACAGAAATAAGCGAAGAATGTACAAAAAAAGATTGGCTTAAATCATTACAAGGGATTATGTAAGATTAGTTTTTATTCAATTTACAAATGACAGGAAACGATTGAAATTTGATAGTTGGATATTAATTTTATTGAATGATTTTCATAGTAAGCTATTTTAAATGGTTTATAATTATATGCAGATAGTTGTGTTTCTAACATCTTTCATATAGAAATCAGAGAAGTTCTACTCAATGACTTCTTGTGGCATGACTGTTGTTTACGAAGTTGAGAGGACGAAAAGTGAATGTTCGGCGCTCTAACCTGAGTGGTGCATATGGAGGATCCACCTAGGGGAGTTGGAAAACCCTCATTCCAAACTAAATGGTGTAGTTAATTCAGTAGTGGTGATACATAAAAGAAAAAATACATATAAGGACATAGAACAGGAAGAAAGAATTAGTTCGTAGAAAGAAAGATACATGGTAATTTTAATCTCATAGTTTAAAGGAAGATAGAGAGTGTAATCACCTACGCCAGTGTGATCGATTCTGAGCCTTGTCACCAAGTCTCCAACTATTGGTTACAATAGTCACGCGGACCCCAACCAAGTAGTCTGCATCTACCAACATGGCTCACACTAGAAGTTAATGACTTCAAGCACTGATGCCACGTTTTGATTTGGCCGTCCCTAACTTTCTTTCAATTATCCCTAACACCGGTCAGCATTGCGCGCCGTGGTAATCGGTGTTCAGGCATACGCAGCACGTGGCCCAACCATCTCAGTCGATGAAGATTCATAACTTCAACTGATTTACCATCATTCCGTAATACTCTGCGTCTAACCTCACTATTACTTACCCGGTGATCCCAGCAGATGTGAGCAATATTTCTAAGACATCTGTGGTCAAATATTAGAAGCTTACGAATATCTTCAACGTAAACTTATGCAGTAAACATGCTATGTGAATAGTCAGTAGAATAATTTCTTTCTTACAAATCATATAACGACAAGGATTGACTAGCAAGTGTGTTATTCGGTCCAGCGATAGGATACTTTTATGTGGTACATGTTTATTTTGTCTTAACTAAACACATAAACATTCTTACAAAGGGGTACCGAAATGTATATGAGCTACACAAATGAGTTATTATTCAATTTTTGTGTGTGGGCTCGGATATTGCTTGTGTGCCCAAATCGAAACAGATGGTTCTCTTGGGAGATCAAAACCTGAGCCCTAGACCTATAAATCTAATGCATAAGATAATAGGGCAATGTTAGGAGGTGAGGTCCAACGATTAGCAGCCAAATAAGAAATTCACCTATATTAGATAGAATTTGTTCTCTACCCTTCGAAAAATCTGTAAATACACCGTTTTAAATAGTGTCAATAGTATGTAATCTAGTTCAAAAAGTAGAAATTTTCACGTTTATTCAAGAGTTCAACACATAACACTCTCAAAAATAGAAATGAGAATTTGTTCTGTTTATAGATGGTTTATCAGATGTGAAGGCGCGGATCGGAAAAGCAAGAGCAGCATATTTACAACTGAAGAACATCTAAAACTGAAAACAACTGTCAACCAACACCAAGGTCAGAATTTTCAATACAAATGTCAAGACAACTCTACTGTATGGGGTGGAAACCTGGAAAATCATGAAAGCCGTTATCCAGAAGATACAAGTGTTTATTAACAGTTGTCTACGTAAAATACTTCGGATCCGTTGACCGGACATTATTAGCAACAACCTACTATGGGAGAGAACAAACCAGATTCCAGCAGGGGAAGAAGTTAAAAAGAAGTACTGGAGGTGGATAGGAAACACATTGAGGAAAGCACCGAACTGCGTTACAAGGCAATTCCTCAATTGGAATCCTCAAGGCCAAAGAGGAAGGAGAGGAAGATCAAAGAACACATTACGCCGGGAAATGGATACAGACATGAGAAAAATGAACAAAAAATGGATGGAACCAGAAAAGAAGGCCCAGGACAGAGGGGGTTTGAGAGTGCTGGTCGGCGGCCTATGTTACATTTGGAGTAACAGGCGTAATTCAGTAAGTAAGTAATCGATGGTTTATATAGTTACAATAACAAAATTAATTAATTAGTTATCTATTCGGCAGAAAACACCACATTTTTATTTCATGGTTTAGTGTTAACCCTTTTGCTAGAGAACACTCAAATAAAAGTATAATATATTGAAGACCTTCAATGACCTATCCGTCAATCAGGGAACGCGGCCTAGTTACGAAAGTATTAACAGTGGAATAATTACTCTGATTTCAATAATCAACCCTTTAATAGTTTAATCATTCTTTACAGTAAAAGAAAAAAGTTTAAGTTTTACAGATTAGAAGTCGAATTCGTTATATCTAGAGCTTAGATTCTTCATATACACCGCGTATAAATTGAGCGAATCGAACACTAGAACCTTCAAAGTTGCAAATTAGAAGACAGAAAACAAGTGAAAGGAATTTTACTGCAGTGTCTATTATGGTACAAAACTATCAGGTATTATTAGTGTTTCGTAAAAACGAAATCATCATTATAGTCCTCCAATCCGTATACATGTAGTTATTAGCATTTGTCCAGTAAGGAATATTCTTCCAAAAGATGATTAGATCGAATATCTTAGGCTTTTTCTAAGCTTCTTAAAGCTTTGTCGAGTTCACCCGTGGGCCGTCCTCACAACTATTATTATTATTATTATTATTATTATTACTATTATTATTACAAGACCCAGTGATCGTTGTTTGACTTGAAAGTGAAATAGTTTCAAAAGTGTTAATCGTTTGAAAACTTCACCTGTAGCTCTTCTAGAGTTACTGCCAGTCCCAAGCCTGGGTAAACAAGGAGGGTTGGACATAGGGTTAGCGATCCCATCACACTCAAAAAAACGCTAACCAGAAAAAAAATTTAACCGTTTGAAGGCATTTTCACCATTTCTTCATAGTTTTAAAAGGATATTTTCAAAGAATTATTAATAACTTTATTAAGAGGATAGATAGATTTGATTAAGGCAGAAATTCCTGAAGGATTGGATTGAGGCACGTTGATTGGTTATTTTTTTTTAACCAATCAGTAATAGCGGAGGCTTAGACAAAATCCTAGAATTTTATGTAAAACTGCCCGGGTTCCCAAATCGAAGCAGGAAGCAATAAAAGTAGTTAGATCGTAATAAACGAAATCGTGACAGATTCCAATGTAGGAATTAAACAACCAAACAAACAGAACTTCCTAAAGGTAAATATCATTCTTACTTTATGATTAAAGTAATGTTGAAATTTATCACGGGCTAAATATAAACATTGATTCCATGTAGATGGACGTGAGTATAAAAATCGTCCAATATTAGGATTTAATTGATCTTGTAACAGATTTATTCTTTCAATCCAGTTTTTCATTAAAATTTTATCATTAGAATACATCTTTGATGTAACAATTACATTATTATTATTATTACTACTACTATTACTGTTATCAGTAGTAGTGGTGGTAGTAGTAGTAGTAGTACAATTGGTAGGAATATCATGAATAGTATCATTGCATAGATGCATTAAAAATGTTAAATCTGATATTAATTGGTGCGTTTGTTGTTTTGATGTTTGTTCACCATGGTAACTGTCCACATATTCACATTGTTCTAAATTCCAAGCTTGTAAAAATGTTTGTAATTTCATGGGTTTCAACGTGAATTGACTAGCAAACTAAATTGGTATTTGTTTACATAAAGAAGAAAAAAAACAAAAACAAACGAATAAAAATAAAAACACGCCAAAAGAAAAATCAAAATAAACAGATAGAATTTTTTGAGGGTATATATTTGTGATGACATTCGATTGCCCTGATACGGCCGAGAGTAGGGAGAGTCCACTCACCCTCTCCAAATTCTTTCATATGGCCACGCGTATATAGCCTCTGCCAGGGAAGTCCTACTCACTGGGTTCTTGTGGCGTTACTGTTGTTTACGAAATTGAGAGAACGAAAATCGAATGTCCGGCGATTTAACCGGGTTGGTGAACACGGAGATTTCACCTAGAAAAGTTGGAAAGCCCTCATTTCAAACCAATGATACACATGGTCTCCAGTATCCTCAGGGAACAAATGGAGTATGAACCAATTATTGGTCACCGGCTACCATGGGACTGAATCTCAGCCCTCACACAAATCAAATGAGATTTGTATGGCGCATATGTATTTGGTGCCTCCTTTTACCAATATCTATGTGTTCAACTAATAATAAATAATAAAATGAAATTCGATTGTGGAAAACATTGTACTCTAGTGCTATAAGACGTGTGTGTTAACGGTCGTCACTACCTGGTCGTTAGGTGTTCTTTTGAAGGCCTAAAGAAGAGGTTGAATAATGCATAAACTTGACCATAAAATCCAAGAAATAATGGTTTAAGGCCGGTCACACAGTCTTTTCTCAAATAGTTCCTGATATGTGCTTAAAATTGATCAAGTTACGACTCATGGAGTTGTAGGAGTTAAGATAAGGTCCACCAGTGAACTTAGAAGATGTTGAAAATTCAGCTAATTCAATAGTGATGAAACAGACCAGAAGATTGTGATGACAATTAATCTTGAAAACCAAATAAACAATTGAAACCATGGTAAAATAAGGTAAATTTCGGAACATTAGTTATTGATTAGAAAAGTGTACTGTTATCACAAGAAATGGATAAGAGGTCACAAAGCTACATTAATTTAAAGACTTAATGAAACGTTATTGACATAAAACAATGGTTGATTGTATGAGATTTCAGTGAAAAACCAAAGAGAGTTATAAATTGTATTAGGTAAATCAAATATATTACTTATAAGTAATTCAAAATTTTAATAATCGAATTCATGAGTCGATGTAAGCTAAACCATTGTGTAAAAGGTGGAAGCACAAGACTCCCGTTTCATCCTGGTAAAGTGCATCCACAATCCCGTACGCTGGACTCGAAACCAGGACCTTCGGGCATCCAGAGCTTTCAGATTTTCAGATTTCAGGTAGAACTTCAGAATAACAATGAAAGATCCACGACCATATCATCCAACTCCGAGAACAAAACTTCATCAACATAGAAGTTAATATAATCATTTAATTAGCTAACATAGATATGAAAATGCAACTGAATTATCCTAGTTCACATAATTCACGATAAATTAGATTTTATTAACTAATTAGGTCCAAAACCGAATGACACTAAAGAATTCGTGACATGAAACAACAATCACTTAATGTTATCAGTCAGTAAATATGACACTTCTGGCTTAGTTGAATATACAACAGACTATGATTTCACAATAGAAGGTCGCAAAACCCTATCTTGAAGAACCTTTATCCATAAACAGTTTATGATGTACAACTATATTTTTCAAAATCAAGTATGGGACTCCTTAACAGTACAATCCATGTCTGGTACATACAGATATCTAACTCAGACAATGGATGAATGAAACATTCATGGATCGATCGAAGTTAGACATGAACACCCTCGGATACTGGCTCAGTGGTCTAGAGGTTAAACGTTCGCCCGAGTAGCCGAAGGTCCTGGGTTCGAGTCCCGAGTGCAGGATCATGGATACGCACTGTTGAAGAGTCTCATACAAGAACAAAACGGTCTTCAGGTTTTTCCACTTTTCCCATGATGGTCTAGCTTATATTGACTCATAAATTTAACTAATAAAAACTTTACTTAACACAAAACTTATATGTTTTGAAGAACAAATCAACTACATTAGAAAAAATGTTTAATAATTTTCACTCGAATTCATTTCTATTCAATATTTAAATGTATACACTTTACTTATTCATTAAACAAAAAGACAATAGGTCTGTAAAATTGTTTTGGCAAATATTTATTCAATTCATCAGATAGTTGTTTGTCTTCTTTACATAAACATTATTTCTCATATGGGTATCCACCTACCCTACTTATTCTTAAATAGGATAGATAATAGTAATCAGTCAGGAAGGAGTACATTTTTAGTTAATATGAGACAATAATGTCAATAGGATAAACAATAAGAGAGAGAGAGAGTGTGTGTGTGTGTATGTGTGTGAGTGAGTGAGTGAGTGAGTGGGAGAAAGAGGAAAAGAACGAAAACATCAGAATTTGATACAGATCGTCTATAATAAACACAATGAACAGTGAAACATTCAACAACAAAAATAACAAAACTTCACGAATCAAATTAATCTCACTTAATACAATCTGATGTACATGAGATCAGAAATAAGAAATTAAAATCGACAGATACTTAGTATATTTGATCTTTAACTAATAAAATGTAGGTTCGAACCCCATTTTTCCTGTTAAATCTACTTCCGTATGAGCATTAAGAGAGTATTATGACATCAAGTCGGCTGTAAGTGATTAACTACTTTGTAATTGAGTAAAAGAAATGTCCAAATTCCTTTTAGGACATACATTTCAATAATGTTGTATGGATCCAACGAGATCATTTTATTATCTATATGTTATACTTGTGACCGACAATTAGGGAGCAGTGAATTATCGGTCGGACCAAGGACGTATAAAACACGTGCGAGCAGTCTAGAGTCCTTATTGGTCCTGCTTTCCGCCTAGTCCAACCAGTTAAGTCCAGAACACCAATTTCAGCCTCTATGATATAAATCATTTATTTCAAACAACTTGGGTTTCTATACCAACCAAACAGATCACATCGTACCAATAAAACATGAAAAAACATTTGTACAAGATTTAGCTAAATGTGGCTGTGGATGAGGGAGGTAGTAATTAATAGACAGGGCATAATTCAAGAATGGCAAATCGTATAGTGATAGTTCATAGGTCAAAACAAAGCTCATAATAAGTGGGACACAGATATGAATAGTTTAGTTACATAACAATTACACGATAAGAGTATACGCGTAGTATTGGTCCATAATGGATCCCTAAAGTTACCATTGATTATGCTTATCAGGAACTGATTCCAGCTAATATAACCATTATGAACTAGGAAACATTGGTTATACGTGTCTTGTGCCAACATAGAACTCTTTTGTAGAACAAATTCTACGGTTCGACCTGTTATATCCCGATGACAATAACGAATGGTAACTGTTGGAATCCATTTAAGAACTAATACTATACGCATATTTTTATCGTATAATTGTTAAATAACTAAACTAGTCATTTCTGTGTTACAGTTATTATGAGCTTCATTTTGACTATTATTATACGATTTACCATTCTTGAGTTATGCCCAGTTTATTAATTACTACATCCCTCATCCACAGCCACTTTTGGCCAAATCTTTTGGTGCGATGTGGTCTCTTTAGTTTGTATATAAATCCAATATGTTTGAAATAAATGATTTATATCATAGAGGCTGAGATTGGTGTTCTGAACTTGACAGGAAGGGCAGGACCGTTAAGGACTCTAGACTTCTCGTACTTAATTTATGCATCATTGGTCCGATCGATAATTCACTGCTCCCTGATTGGCAGTATCATTACGTCATATATTAATAGGACACAGGGAATAAATTATAACACTACCAAACCTCAATGACAGAACTCATTAGACTAATCTCAAGAGCATTATCTTTAGATGATCCAATTAACATCCCGAGCTCCCAATTTTGGAGAAAATTTGACCCATTTGGTCAAATGACCTTGACCAAGGTTAAAGGGGAATTTCCCCAGGTCTGGGAAAATTTTGGGGTTTTTGTACCATTTCCCTAAAATTCCCTCAAACATTGGTGAAGGTCATTTGACTTCGAGAGTTTCCCCAAAACACCCCAAAATTTCCTCAAGGTTGGTAGCTCGGTGGGATTCAATAAACTACAATAACAACTTCAGTCAATTCACAGTATTGCACGATTACCGTTAGCGTAAACACCTACAAAACTAGAAAATACATGTACCGCATGAACAACGAATTATGTATGAAAGTTATGCAATCACCGATTGACTATGTATAGAAATGTGGACGTTTTGTTTACTGTAGGGATATTCAGAAAAATATCCCAAACATTATCCTGTTAAGTCTAGTGCTATCCTTGAACGTGAAATGGTGTCATTTTCCTATTGGTCAATATTTATGGTCCGCCTAACTGTATATAACCCCATAAACAATTTTCATCTAACGTTTCGTAATCTGATATATGGAGATTGGGGAACAGTATTAGGATCGTACTGGGATATTTGCAGTTGATCAATCGGTAGAATTTAGAGTAGCCACCAAGCAGTTCACAATATTTCCTATGATGAAAATCACAACATTAAATAAATTTAAATGATTCAACTTACTTTTTCACGTGCCCATTCAATACAATGAATTGGTAAAGTTGGAAATGATTTCAATGTACAATATGGTATTGTATTCACTTGACTATCAATATTTCCATTACCATCTATATCACTATTATTATGAACAATATCATCATCCATTTGACTATTATATGATTCAGTAATATCAGGTAAAATGACTTGAACATGACCTTTAGTACCTAAAGTACCAGATTCAATCAATGGTAAATGTAGTGTTACACAACGTGAATCTAAATAACGACGTGTTGGTATACAATCTAAAGCAGCTAATACAATACCTTGTTGTTTATATGAAGAAGTATTCAGTATTGAAGAAGATGTTATTCCTTGTTTGTAATTACTACACTTTATTGCTTGTAATAAAAATTCATCAGTGAAAATAGACTTTTCAGTATTTGGCCAAACTGAAAATTGGGGGAAAAAAAAAAAGAAAAAACAAACAAAAAATTAGCAGAAATGAAATAGATTTAATTCACAATTACTTTCTATCTATCATAGGAGGCTATGAGGATTGTTGAAGTTTAAAGTTTCACAAAACAAACTTACTTTGGTGAGAGTACGATTGAAAACTAAGAAGCGATATAGAGCTATCTAGTCCTAAGTACAGGATTCCTCAGCAATGTATGTTGATGACTTTATCAAGAATTGAACACAGAGTCTTAAGGCTCCACAACAAGGAGTTAACGTTCGGACATGGAATTCCAATGTAAAGCAACGATGAATAGAGTTCAATCATGAGACAACTAACACCAGTCGCAAAGGATAATAGCCCGATAAGATTTCAAATTGAAATTAGAAATTAAAACCGTTGGACGTCAAATCGTTAATCTAGAATTTAGGTGGTCACTGAGATGCCTGAAGACCATGGGTTCAACTCTAGTCAGGATAGGTGATAAGGATTGGTGAGGTATTCTAAACTAGGACGAAACAGCCCTTCGGTAGTTCCTGATTCTCAATGATTCTCTAAACAAGTTCATTGTGTAATGTTAAACTAAAAACGCAATGAATTTTTCTAATCTTAACAAATGAAAATAATTTGACTGGATTGTATTAATTAATGGATGTGTGTAACGGTTAAGAAATCTATGAATAGCTTTGTAATTCTTCAACATTGAATACTGAATACTGGATACATTCCTAGCTGAAGACTCTTCGTTAAGCATCCGCACTACATCACACTGAGATACCTGGTGTTGTGCATCTCCTACAATAAACATTCAGCTCAGATTTCATACACTAAGGTACATCGACCTATAATTCAAATGTACTTTGATATCCTGTTATTTTTCACATTTTGCTTTACTGGCTTTTAGATCATTGAGTAAGGAAAGACTTCGGAAAGTAGTATTGCCGGATTTCGCGTGTCTGCTATCCTCTTCAGATGTACGTGGAATTACTTACTTCCTCACTTAAGCCTGTTACTCCTAATGCAGCATAGGCCGCCGATCAGCACTCTCAAACCTACTCTGTCCTGGGCCTTCTTTTCTAGTTCCATTCAATTCTTGTTCATTTTTCTAATATCTGTATCCGTGTTCCGGCGTAATGTGTTCTTTGGTCTTCCTCTTTTCCTTCGACCTTGAGGATTCCAATTGAGGAATTGCCTTGTAACGCAGTTCGGTGCTTTCCTCAATGTGTTTCCTATCCACCTCCAGTACTTCTTCCTAATTTCTTCCCCTGCTGGAATCTGGTTTGTTCTCTCCCATAGTAGGTTGTTGCTAATAATGTCCGGTCAACGGATCCGAAGTATTTTGCGTAGACAACTGTTAATAAACACCTGTATCTTTTGGACGATGGATTTCGTAGTTTTCCAGGTTTCGGCTGCATATGGTAGAACTGTCTTGACATTTGTATTAAAAAATGCTGACTTTGGTGTTGGTTGCCAATTGTTTTGAGTTCCAGATGTTCTTCAGTTGTAAATATACTGCTCTTGCTTTGCCAATCCGTGCCTTCACATCTGCATCAGATCCACCGTGTTCATCGATGATGCTGCCCAAGTATGTAAAGGTTTTTACGTCCTCCAAATCTTCTCCGTCAACTGTGATTCGATTGGTGCATCTTGTGTTGCATCGGAAAATCTTACTTTTCTCTTTGTGTATATTGAGACCTATTGCTGCTGAAGCTGCTGCTACACTGGTCATCTTCTCCTGCATTTGTTGTTGCGTTTGCGATAGAAGAGCCAGATCATCCAACTGCAGCCTAGATGTCCACTGTATCCCGTGCTTCCCTTCAGTGTACCTGGAATAGACTTAGACAAATGATGATATCATATTTGCTGTAGGGAGATAATACTGTCCCATCCTTCAGTATTACCTCTTGATAAGTTCTATTGTCTTACAGAATGTCAATTAAGCTGATATTAAACTTTTATTACAACTAAACTCAACATGATGTTGATAATGAATTTTGGAAAGCGAAAAGGAGTATAAATTGTTTCATCCATTTAATCTGACTTCATCCCTTTAATCAGCATTATAAAAGTTGATCATAACGAAAATAACTTTTTATTTGCTCAGTTAGTCATACACAACGTATATCCTGACAAATGTGTACATCAGTTCAAGTTGCCACACCATATAAGTTCAGCGAAATGAAATCGTCAGAGCAAATCTCAGAATTCTAGGGGTAATAACACTAATGGTGGTAATAGAAAAGATCAGGCTTCAAAGTGGCGATTCGAGTAGAAATTATGGTTTGGTAGAGTAAAATCATTTATGAGTTTATTTTTGAAGTTTAAACCGTACTAAAGAAAGACAAAGAGTGAACGCACCTATGCTATTGCGATATATTCAAAGCCATGTTATCCAAATTCCCCAACGATTGGTTACAATCATACCGACACTGATAATGTAGTCTGCACTTACTTAAATGGCTCAGTCCAACAACCGATATCTTGACAGTGTAATGTGAGATTTTAGTTTGGTTGGCTTTAGGTTTGTTCCAATGTATTCGCGTAACAGTCATCATCGGGTGTCGAGTTGTGTAGTGGATTGCAACACACACAAACACACACACCAGGTAAGCTTTAGAAGCTGAGTTTAGCATTTCATCTACAGTATTTGACTGTCATCTTATAACTAATAATCTGGCATTCTTATTTGCATGATTAAATATCTTTAACCGTCAACAGCATTTGTTCAGATGAATTTTATCAGTTTTATATGTAACTAGAGCACAATAAAAATGATCGCTTAACGCTAACTAATATAATAATCGACTAGATCATAGTGCCGATTAATTTTATGAATTAAGTTGTAATTTAGAGATTAATCTAAAACGAATCGGTATCTCTTGTACCATATTTTGATGTCAGACATATGGATGAGATCTGTAAGCATTAACGGATCAAAGTTTTCTATTCATTTGGACTCATCACAGTGCATTTGAAATCTTGAAGGAAATTAATATTAGGAAAAAATTAGTTACTCAAGGCGCGGGTGTTGTTGAGGAAATTGAGAGAACGAAAAGCAAATGTCCGGTGCTTTAACTGAGTCGGTGGTCACGGTGAGTTCACCTAGGGGGGTTGAAAAACCCTCATTTTAAACCAATGGTACACATGGGCTCCAGTATCCTGAAGGAACAAATGGCGTATGAACCAATTATTGGACACACCGGTTAACATGTGACCTCACGATGCTCCACTACCTTGTCGATCAAACCTTTAGGTTAAAGGCTCCGGGTGTGGCCCCCTGTGAAAACCACATGCTTCTGTTTGGGCACCCGTGCAGTATCACAGCCCTCGCACAAATCAAATGAGATTTGTGTGGCGCATATGTATTCGGTGCCCCTTTGTACCAATATTTATGTGTCCAAATAAATAAAATAAATAAATAAACTATTCAAACAGGAACTAGTTTAACACATTTATTCGACAACATATTAAACGAATAATTCAGTGGTAAAACCTTCCGCTGCAACAATAGGTGATACAGGTAACGACCCTATAACAGAATTCAGTTTCTTTAAGGTTGTAGTAAACCTTCGTCAACAAGTATCTACCCGTATTACCTCTAACACACTGAGTTTCAAACATTAAAAACATCTATCCACAGAGTATATTTGACCTGTATCTTACGTAAGGACCGGAGTAAGACAAGGCTGTCTACTCTCCCCCTTCCTCTTTCTTCTGGTGGTCGACTAGATTATGAAGACCTCGACATCTGAGGAAAACCACGGCATACGATGGACAGCTCAGAACCAATAGGACGACTTGGACTTCGCAGATGACCTAGCCCTCCTATCACATACACACGAACAAATGCAGATAAAGACAGCCAGCATAGCAGCACTCACTGCATCAGTAGGCCTCAACATACACAAATGGAAAACCAAGGTCCTCAAACACAACACGGAGAACATCAATCCAATCACTGTTGATAGCGAAACTCTGGAAGATATGGAATCATTCACATACCTGGGAAGCATTATCATCGATGAACAAGGAGGTTCAGATGCAGACGTAAAAGCGAGGATTGGCAAAGCAAGGACAGCATTCCTTCAATTGAACAACATATGGAACTCAAAACAACTTTCAACCAATATCAAAGTCACAACCTTCAATACGAACGTCAAGGCGGTTCTACTGTACGGAGCTCCTTCACGAGGAGTAACAGGTGTAAGTAAGTCAAGTTACGTAAATGATGAGTTTATTAATTGTTTGAACAGTACAAAATTTAAATCAAAATACAAAATTTAGAAAATTTCGCTTACATTTATCACACATCGCTCTTATTGATATATTCGGATTAATTCTCTTAGCAGTATCACATGCAATTTGACTTTTTGACAAACCAATATGACATGATTGAAATAGAAATTGTCGATTTAAATTTGATTTTTCAATATGATCAGGATCAGTAACAGTAATAGTTGGGCATCTATTATTCATGATTGATTCACTTTGTACAGATTTTATTGATTGTCTATGAGATGTGGAAACTTGATGTGATATAATTGACTGAACAATTGTTTCAGAATTATTAGTGAGTTTATCATTAGGATAAGGTGAATTGCAGTGTTGTTGCTGACCATCTACCGCTGAATTTGACAACGTTTGATGATGATCACCATCATTCTCATGAGACATCAATAAAGTATCGAGTGCTGTAGTACATGTAAATTGATTGTTGTTTTCTTGTTGTTCATATTGATCACGACGATAACAATATTGACGTTGATTAGAATCAGAGATGTTGTTTGCTGAATGTAAATCATCATCATTAGATCCAGCAGTGGCTACACCTAATAATGCTAAATTCTTTAATAATTCACAACCAATCGCACCACAACCAACCTGTAAAACAATAACAATGAGGGAGAAAGTCAAACGCAAAGTGAAGTTCGATCAATAAAAGTAGCACACAAATGGTTTCTTAATAAGTAATAACCAATCTTATGTTTTTACTAGTGATTCAGTATTGATTAAATTCTATTAACTAAGTTACAGTGTGGTCAATAATCTAAGGGACTTGATATTGTGTAACAAGTTGAGATGTTAGATAGTTGGAAGTGTCAGCAAAGCATCACAGATTTTGAAGCTGGATGATGAGAGTTTGAGACATACGAGCAGTATTAGTTCCTTCATGATTACAGGCACACCTTGGTGAAGAAATGAATAGTGATAGTCCAAACACTATGACTACTATCAATTATATGAGTATAATAGGTAAGCATTCCTGACGGATAGAAAAAGACAGTCATCCATATATTTCCATCAATAATTGAATACCATCTGTTGACTTCTGCAAACTTTATAATTCTACTATCATAATAATTCCCTGATAATAACTACTAATTTTAATGGTTAAGATCATGAATCAGTTGAAGCTAGACCACCATGGGAAACCTGGAAGCACTGGACAGCCATCTCGTCCTATCATGGGACTCGACTCCTCAGCAGTGCGCATTCACGACCTTTTCCCCCGCGAGACTTGAACCCAGGACCTACCGGTTTCGCTCGCGAGCACTTAACCACTAGACCACTGAGCCGGCCAGCATCCAACGGTGTTAATATCTAACTTCAACTAATCCACGAAATTGAGCTACATATCCATGATTGTCTTCAATAAGTTACTATCTTACAACAGACGCGGTTGTGCTTCACTGGTCACTGCATCTTACTAGAACTCCAGGAAATACCTCTTGAAGTCAGTCACTACTAAGTCAATTAATTCTTAGTTCTGCTTTTAAGAGATCTATTCCTTAATGATTAGTTCTATGAAGGGAAGGTGACAGTTAAAGGAGATATCTGATCCGAACCCATTAAATGTCAACAGTAATAACCCATTGATACACCCATAATTAACAGTTCAATTGTATAAATTAATTAAATGGTTTTAAACATTCAAAACAGGAAAAAAAAATAGAACATACCATAAAAATACTTAAATTATGAATTTTTTGAAGATTTAACACACCGATACATTGAATTAAAGCGGCATAACGACTTGACAAATAACTGATACATAAAAGAGATTATATAATAAGCGGTATGAATAAACATAGAATCATAGTTATAATATATGAAGTAAAAGATTACGGAATAGACATTAGTTAACAGGAATCATCAAGATGAATTTCAAACAGAAAATTTAATTATTTTATTTAAACATTAGTATAAGAAGGCACCAAATAGACAATGTGGTATATAAGTCATTCATACGAATTGTGTGAGGGCTGGGATATTGAACGGGTGCCCAGATTGAAGAGGATAGTTCTCTTAGGGGACCACAACCGGAGCCGTCGATCTAAAGGTATGATACACAAGGAAGTAGAGCAACACTAAGAGATCCAGTGCCATAGTAACCGGTGACCAATAGTTGTTCAATTTGTTCCTTTAGGATAATGGGGCCCATGTGTGTATTGGTTTGGAATCAGAGTTTTTCAACTCCTCTAGATCGACTCTACGTGTCCACCAACTCAGTTAAAGCGTCGGATATTCGCTTTTCGTTCTCTCAATTTCATAAACAATACCCTCGCCACGAGAAGACAGTAAGTAAGACTTCTATGTTAGTGGCTGTATACGTGTGGTTATGTGAGAGCATTTAGCAATGAAGAGCTAACTCTCTCTACTCTCGGCCGTTTCAGGGTATTTGGGTGCTTTATTTTATTTAAAACAGAAAAAAATATTCAGTTTAGGGGTTGTGGAGATTAAGTTTTTGATTGAGATTATGAACCGATTGATGTTTGACCACCATTGAAAACCCAGAAGCACTGGACGGCCGTTTCGTTCCATTGTGGGACTCTTCATCAGTGCGCATCCACGATCCCGATCGCGGAATGAAAGGGTCATCTAATGCTTCCAGGTTTTCCATGATGGTCTAGCTTCAATTGACTCATGATCTCAACTATTAAAATTATTATAATATCCACAAAACCTCTTCAGATATTTATATATTTATTCTATGATTAATCATTGACATTATGAATGATTATACTCGGAATTAGTACATTGAATATCTTGCATGATCTATGAGACGTTTGAAGGATATTGAAAAGATGGTGATAGTTTCACATTGTTGTTTAGTTCAAAACTAAGATACAATGAATTGTTCACTTACTTTCTGTTCTCTGAATGGATTTCCAGTTAATATTGATCAGTGATGAAAATCCACTTTTACACATAAGTTCGAAATATTTTGATCATAGTAAACTGTTAAAATGTTGGTGGGCGGCCTATGCACCTCCACGAGGAGTAACAGGCGTATATAAGTAAGTAAGTAAACGGTTACAAATGATGAAGAGGTCATTAAATAGTTATTAAAGAACAGTATTCTTCACTTTCCAGAAAATAGAGAAATAAAAAACAAAGAAAATAGTTGTATCACTCACTTTTGAAATTCATTTGATTTCGTACTGATTTCAAGTGGTACAATTGAAGCACAATGAATATACAGCTAAATCATGATGAAGATAAAGAAACAATAAACAAACGACATTTTAATTTTTAAATCTACTGTTGATGAATCAGTCTCCTGACCGTTGTTGCTACCTTGACGTGGCTGTCTGGCTTGCCTGTCGTGGTGAAGCAACTGAACTATATTGGCCGGAACAGCCGTTCCTCAAGATCCTACAATTCCAGAAAGATCGGTTGAAGAGTGGTAAGACTAAAAGCAACAAATCCAAGGTCCGAAGGCGAAGTCGTACTGCTGACTGTACAGAGGTGTGATAGCAGCAAGGTGTTTCCTTCAGATAACCAGCAGAACAGCGATACTGCCTTCCCACAAGGAGAGGTAGGGCTAGAAAAGGTCGACCCTAAAAATGCACACCTCGCCTTATCCCACGGATATCCGTCTCCGGCGGTAAGGACTCAACAAGTACGGAGCTAACACAAAAGTTACTCATAAAAAGGTCGTGTGTGACCGACCTCAAGCAGCTGTCCCTCGAGCACTGCGGTCACGCTCTCAGGTCACTATGACCACCTCTAATCCGATTTCCTTTTCAGGTACCTCCAGCAGAACCCTTCCAAGGTGTGGGCAACCGGGAAGTGATAACCGCCCTCATACCTCTAACAGCATTCAAGACTGACTGATTGATGAATCAGTGCACTAGCAAAACACACAATTGGATTCAAAAGATTCTGTTTATGCTTTTCAACCTCCACTTCCTGGGATTTTCTCAAAACATTTAACACCCTACCATCAAACGCTATGGCGAGAAAAAAACTGATCTATTTTAGTAAAAGCAGGAGAAGCTAAAGGTAATTAATGTTAGCCACTTAAGGTGATGATACGATACTAGAGTGATTCTAAAATCTAGGGTTTACATCACTCATCATCGCAATTCCTCCGGCACAATCTGGCCTCTCTGACCCAGGGGTGTCTAAAAACCCTGTATACCTATCATTGTATCGAAACGATTTCTTACAATCCCGGCTCAATGGTTTACATGTTTAGCGTTCAAGTGCGAGGACGAATATCTTTGGTTTGGTTCCCACTTTTAGGGTCGTGAATTTACACTGCTAGAGAGTACAAAGATAAGACGAAACGGCTGTTCATTGATTTCAGGTTTTCGATAGCGGTCTAATTTTGATTGGTTCGTGATTTCAATGAGATCATATGCTACTTTTCGGCATATTAGAAATATATTATTGTCCTACCATTATGAACAATCCGCTCAATGCATAATTTACATGAAATTACTAAGACAACATATCGCTACGGATACAATTCTGGATTAAATTTTTTGTAGCAAAGTCTGTATAGGGCAGATGAGGGATTTATTTATTTTGTAGTGTGCGCTATTGATGTCGACAGATATAAGTAGTATGTATCATCAACAGAAAGTGAAATGTCTGGCGGCAGGAGGTTAAGAAAATCGAAGGAAACAGAACGAGAATGGAGAATGATTGGTGTGGAAACGAAAGAGATGATTGATTGACAGTTTGCGAATGAAGTATTTACTGTATGGATCTCAGATTTTATTAAGAGATTCTGTAACTTCTTCTTGAAGTATATTCGATTGTCCCCACTTGTGTTCTCGTTCACTACAATTTAGCTGCTACAGATTTATGTATTTGGTTTCAAATTATACAGTAAATTTGAAGGCTGGTGATACTTACCAGTTGGATAAACAGAAATAGGTAGGATGGGATTCAAACTTGTAACTTGTAATAGCGGAAAATTAAATGTCTTAACCACAATGAACCGCCGCTGAACAAGTGAAAATGTAGTTGATCTGTCTCTTTTTTCTATTTTTTATTTCTTTCAATTTATTTATTTCATAAGTGTCATACTCATATTTTATTTTGAAAGAGTTTTGTTCTCTAATTGGATGGTTTGGTCGTGGAGTTTTCATCGTTCTTCTGAACAACCTTAAGGTCAACAAGAACCAATCAACATCGAGGTCTACAGGACAAGCTGTAAACCACATGTGGAAAAATTCGAACACTTCACTTCTGCCTGACGTTTTCGCTGATGATGTCGTTCAAAAGAACAATGGAAGCCCCACGTTTAAACCATCCATCCCAGTGAACAAAATTCCATCATAATCATCCACCTGAGCTACAAATCTTCTCCACCACCTCATATTTTATATCTTCTATTTAAGATATAATCTTTATTGTTAGTTTGTCTCAATATTATGGGTACTAGTATTTCGATTCTTTTGCTTTGCATCTCTAAAATCTCATCTTGTGTTCATTTGGCAACTTAAACTGCCGCGTATTCATGTGCTATATCTTACGCTGGTTATAGGACTAGTTTTATTATAACGTTGAAATTAGTGTAGAATTATCAATTACTGTTGAAATATAGTACTTACCAGTGAAGCTAATCCGTGTCGGGTAGAAACAGGTATCTACCTCAGTACAATGGAAGATGGTCGCGCAATTTCGTGGATTGGTTGAGGTTAGACATTGACACCGTTGGATGCCGACTCAGAGGTCCAGTAGCTTAAGCGTTCGCACGCGAGACTGAAGGCCCTGTGTTCGAATCCCGCGAGCGGGATCGTGGATGTGCACTGCTGAGTAGTCCCACAATAGGACGAAATGGCCGTCCAACGCTTCCAGGTTTTCAACGGTGGTCTAACATCAACCGGTTCATGATCTCAATCAAAAACTTAACAATCTCCACAACTCCTAAACTGATACTTACTAAACTATTTGGTATTGTTAAACTACTCATTAATTTCAATTATACACCTATAATATACTTCATTTTCACTGTTCCTAATAGAACTTACCCATTGATTAATTGGTGTAAATGTAAATGTAATCGCTTTCATAGCTTCTTGTGCAGCTATTCCACCAAAAACAGCACATAATGGAGCTAATTGTCCTTGGCTAGCAAAGGCTAAACGTTTTACTAATGATTCGTTAATTTTAATTGGCTAAAACGAAAAAAAATGAAAGAAAAAATTAAGTTATCATCAAAAACTTAATTGTAAACTTGAATACGCCCGTTTATTACTATTTACCATTTGTCAGCTGGATACACATATATCCAAGTGTTGGTGTCTACTACGGGACTTGAACTCAGTACTTTTCAATTTAAATAATAATGATATAGGTATTAGACACATTGAACAAGTTAGTGGCTATCCGAATGCAATAATTCAGTGGATCATATGTTAAACACTTGGAGCGAAAGGTATTGGGTTCGAGTGTCTGTGTAAACTTCAGGACTAGACACGCATGACATTGATCACCACCCAGTGATCAATCAATTGTGGAAACTTCAGGTTCGTTCAGTTAACGCATTTCCATGTTTTGAAATATCATTACTTATCCAGTATTCAATACTGATGTATTTACAATTGTATAGTGTTTCATTTGATCACTCACACATTCAAACCTATTCGTTTATTCATTCCCGTAAATGCCCTGGTACGGCCGAGGGTGGAGAGATTCAGCTCTCTCTCTCTCTCCAAATGCTCTTACATGGCTACGCGTATACAGCCACTGACATGAAAGTCTTACGAACTGCCTTCTCGAGGCATCACTGTTGTTTACGAATTTGAGAGAACGAAAACCGAATGTCCGGCGCTCTAACGGGAGTGGTGCATATGGAGGATCCACCTTGGGGAATTGGAAGACCTTCATTCCAAACCGATGCTGCACAACGGCTCCAGTATCCTGAAGGAACAAATGGAGTGTGAACCAATCGTTGGTTACTGGCTACCATGGAACTGAATCTCCTGACGTTACTCCATTGTCTTGTGAATCAGACCTTCACGTCAAATGTTCCGGGTGTAGTCCCCTAAGAAAACCACCTGCTTCGGTTCGGGCACCCGGGGAATATCACAGCCCACACACAATTCGAACCAATGGTTTATGTGTTGCATATCTATTTGGTGCCTCCTTGTACCAATGTTTATGTATTTAAATAAATAAGAACTACAAATATCATGTATGATGATCAGTAGAAATACATTTGTATACTGCTCCAAAATGTTCAACAACATTAGCGAAGAATTATTTTTTACCAGCACAGAGTGAAAATGAATTCACTTGGTGTTGTTTATTAGAATCTTCTCATTGATGTTTAGGGCTTCAATTGACCAGTCTCTTATTGGCATATGTGCATACTGTTCGTATTGCCTTAATTCAAAAGCTAAGTAGACAACACGATGGCATTTGAAGCAAACGGTACTGGGTTCGAGTCACACAGTGAAAATCAATTCTGAGATGCAGATACATCCAACTGAAGAGTCCCAAATGGGACGAAACACGCGTCATGGTTTCAGATTTAATCCCCTAAGAAAACCACCTACTTCGGTTCAGGCACCCGGGTGATATCACAGCCCACTAACCAATCAGGTGACTTGTATGGCACATATCGATTTGGTGCCCCCTTTTGTATCAATATTTATGTGTTCAAATAAATAAATCCCCCCCCCTTAATTTGCCTATTTATTCATTCATATTTAATAACTTAAACATGTATTCATCATTATTAATTTGATATTGATTACTTACATTGACCATTTGTAGCTTATGTAATGTGAACAATTGATCACGAAATAAATTCCAATCATTTTCATCCCTTTGTTGTTTTTTTTTTGTTAGTAAAATGTAATAGATAAGATGAATTGTACATTATCATGTTTAAAATAAAATAATGACATTGATCATTACGATAGGGTACTTTTGTACTTTTTTTGTTGTTTAAACATAGTTACTAATTATTGATTACATGAGTTTAATGACAGATATTTAAGGAATTTAAACCTAAGTAGAGGGTTTCCTGTTGACAACCTCGCCAACCACAATCATATCTCAAACATAGTGCACATAATGCTGACTCATCTAGACTGGTGACCATATTACAATTTGATCGATAGGATTCGATCTACATTAAGAAGGATGTGAAATACGTGACATTGATCATCACCCAATGATCAATCAATAGTAAACAGATATTCACTATTGAATAGACCAAGGATATACCACAGTGTTGTCGTAGTGTATGCTATTTATGTTAACAGATATAAGTAGTATGTAGTAGAAATCAGAAGTGAAATGCCGGATAGTAGATGATTAAAATGAAGAGAACAAAAATGAAATTGGAGGGTAATCCAAATAACAACAAAATTAAAAGAATAATAGAGTGAGTAAAGGATAACACAAAGTAGATGCGCAAATGATTGTATGATTTTGCATTCAACAATAAATTGCTTCACAATACTACTGTAGCGAACAAGAACACAGGTGGGGGACAATAGAATGTAATTAGGCACATAATTACAGAGCATCTCAATAAAATCTGAGAACCATATATTAGATCGTTAATTTGCAAAATATTAATTCATCATATCAAACTTGACTTTTCCTGTTGCAAACATCAATCCATTGTCTCAGATTTCATTGTTCATGCGTTTTCATACAAATTGCATTGTGTTCCCGCTCTTCTTTTCTTGATCTTCCCCCATCTTCTGCTGCCAGACATTACGTTTTTAACTCGCGTCCTACACTACTTATATCAATATAAGTAGCGCGCACCACACTATTACTAACAGAAATGAATGACCAAGGAACACTAATAGATTTTATCCATAAGAGGTAAGTAACCGAAGCAATATTCAGACGATGATTACATTTAATGTATGGGTAGTGGTGGAAATTAAGATGCATGTTTTGTCCCATTTGGGAATCAGTAAAACAGATGCACCTGAATTCTAGTGTTGATGCTCACATTGAGACTTCAAACGCCGATGTGTTATTGATACAAGTACAAAGTAAGCCCTCACTTGGAATCCTCAAGGCCAAAAGAGAAGAGGAAAACTAAAGAACACACAAGAGAAGAATGAACAACAATTGGATAGAACTAGAAAGGAAGGCCTAGGACAGAGTGCGTTGGAAAAATGTTGATGAGCGATCTATGCTCCTCCATGAGGGTTAACAGGAGTAAATAAGTAAGTAATAAGGGCAAGTGAAAGAAAGATGTACAATTTTGCATTACATGGGACATTGATTTGAATTTGATATCCATAACTAATATTAAGTCCAATACATAAAGGCGAATACGAACTCATGAGTAATGAATAACCAACTCAGTACAAATAATTTACATGATACCTGTCTAAGTAATCAGGTGATCAATTACATTTTCTTAAGATGGATAAATATACTACTCAGATGTTTAAATAAAAATAGATAAAGTAAAGTTTGAACCAAGGAGCTACAGCTCACATTTAAGATGGTTACGACAAAACAACTATCGAACAAACCAGATACAAACACTTACAGGCATAGATTGACCTAAAAAGAAAACGAAACAAAACGAAGGTTTTCAACATACCATGGTTTGGGATAACGGCCAGTTTCTGTATTGAACTTCATCAATGTTAGGTATGTTAAATGTAACAAGTTACCTTCCTAATCGAAGTAAAAACAATCAAGGGTAACAAAAAGGAATAAGATTTAATTAGAAAAAGATATTGAACATGAAACAGAACGCTATCAATTATCATGAAAGTTACATGATTGGGTTGAATTGTTCAAAGCTACTAACAGAACGACACGAATAATTAAGGTTAAGTAGGTTTTTTGACAAATGATTCAGTTTTTTCATTGGCCCACTACTTACTATGTACAGGTTTGTGTACTCGGTTTTCAGTTACGCTATTTTTGTGTAAAAGCTAGTGAAACCACTTAGTTAGTGGAGCCGAATCAGTTGGAGCAAGATTGAAACAAGAGGTCAACTAGTTGAAAGCCGTAGGTTTTAATTCTATGACCAGTAAACAATACACAATGAACAATCTAAGCTAATAGAATTAATTTCAACGTACATTATCATCGAACGGACAGTCAATAAGTAGGTAACCATTCAACACATACTGTTAACTAGTTTCTTTATACTACCTCAACTGAAGAAAGTTTTAAATACTTCACTAACTCTCACGATCTGGAGATGATAGAAAAGGTCATACAAAACTCTTCACTCAAGACATTTTAATAACATGACTGTCTCCTCTTCTTGACTTTATATGTGTTGATACGTTTTTTTGAAATTGGATAGATTTTGGTAAGACGACTGATTACTAATTGACCTGAGTGCCAAGCTTCTGAAAATTCATTAGTCTCCTTTAGATTATCTCTGTCTAAGATTTCGAAATTTCCCCAAACGAACTTGTGTCCACAACTGTCTACATACATTAATGTAAATAAAGATATATTGTGGTGTTTGATATATAATTGGTGTTCATACAGACAAAGTTGAAGAGGTCGGCCAATCTTGATAGATGAGAAAAATACTTCAGAAGTTACAACTAGATTATTGAGACAATTTGGAAAAGGTGTAATCCATAACCCATTAAAATCGCTTTGATCAATCATTGTGCAAATCAAAAGATAACATGACCAGAAAAGGAAAGCTGAACAACATCTATAAAATAAGTTGATCCAACTACAAGAAACAGCAGACACAGTGGATGTCCTTTTCATCACTATCTATAAGAACACTAACTACCAGTGAAACACTAAAAGGCGACCTCATTTACATTAATGTAAGTAGACAATTGTGAACACAAGTTTGTTTGGAGAAATTTCGCGGCTTGAAACTAAAAACTTAATAGATACGCGATATGTATATGTATCCCCCCCTTATAATAAAATTGACTGGACTGCACCATGGCAGCTAGTTTTTCAAGTGCATTGTAAACAGGATGCACTCGAGAGGCGGCAAATTGTGTTCAATGTCCAAGCGTTACCACCGAGTTAAAGATAGTCTCCCTTAAACAAAGATAATCTATAGAAGACCAACGAATTTTCAGAAGCTTGACACTTGGATCAATTAGCAGTCAATGATCACATCTAAATCTATCCAACTTATCAATCAGTTAAAAAAATTATAAACCATCTTAACTTCAAGATAGAAGATAATCAAAATACCCAGACAGTAACCGGAAAAATTTTAACAAAAACTTATCAAATTTAATGTTGAAAAAAAAAACAAGCTATTAGTCATAAAGGAAGAAATCTTCATAGCTCACTTCGATCTGAAGTTTGTACTGACGATATTGTCTAGAAAGACAATGAAAGCCTCACAATCAAACCATCCAGTTCAAAGGACGTATCTCTATTGAAATCATCTTCCTGGACTGTTAATATTCGCCACGATCTCAATATATTCATTCCTTATGTGTTTTTTGTACATTTTGATTGTTAATATCATTTCATAATTCGATGAACTCAATTTGACTGAACTTTTCCTATTATACTTACTAAACTTACTATAATATCCACAAAAACCCCTTGTGATACTAGTCAACATATGCTCACTAGTGACTGGCTTCAAGAAGTATTTCCTGGAGTTCTAGTAAGAAGCAGTGACAAGTGAAGCACAACCGCGTCTGTTGTGAGATAGTAACTTATTGAAGACAATCATGGATATGTAGCTCAATTTCGTGGATTAGTTGAAGTTAGATATTAACACCGTTGGATGCTGGTCGGCTCAGTGATCTAGTGGTTAAGTGCTAGCGAGCGAAACCGGTAGGTCCTGGGTTCAAGTCTCGCGGAGGGAAAGGTCGTGAATGCGCACTGCTGAGGAGTCGAGTCCCACAATAAGACGAAACGGCCGTCCGGAGCTCCTAGGTTTCCCGCAGTGGTCTAGCTCCAATTGACTCATGATGTCAACTATTGAAACATACTTTATATGTTTAATTTTTTCAAATACTACAATTAGTTCGACTCTTATCCTATTAACCATGTTAGTTTCATTTTATTGATGTGGTGAAGTATAACAGTTTTGATTGATACACTTTTATGTCAGACCCAACATTGTTTACGACTGATTAATTGATTGGGTACAATTAGTTTAACTGGTATTACTATACACAGCCTATATAATGTGATTTAGTTAGTCAATCAGATATAATCAACATAGAGCCTGAAACAAATGTTCATCGCATCAGGTAGCTGCACCCTACACATCAGTAGGGTGAGATGGAATTTAATACAACAATGATTAATATTTAGTGAGAGAGAGAGAGAGAGGAAAAAAGGAGAAAATAACTTCAGGTAATTTTTTCACTAACCTCAGGTTCACTGAAATCTACACACATTAATTTAGGATATTTAAGTTGTTCGAGCATAGTTTCCTAAACAAAAGTATTAAAAAATAAATAAATAAAACGGTAAACAGACATTTAATTGTTTAACAACTGTAGTGTTGAAGTCTCAGTTAATTGTCTGAAGGTTTGAAATCTGACCTGGGCACGGACACTGCTTAGGTGCCCAAACCGAAACAGGTGGTTCTCTTAGGAGGTCACACCCTGAGCCCGTGACTTAAAGGCCTAATGCACAAGACAGTAGAGCGATGTTAGGAGTTGGGGTCCTATAGTAACATGTGACCAACAATAGGTTCATACGCCGTTTGTTCCCTTAGACAGTGGAACAACATAAGGAGATGCGGTCACATGGTAACCGGTGACCAATAATTAGTTCATACGCCATTTGTTCCCTCAGGATACTGGAGCCCATGTGTATCATTGGTTTGGAATGAGGGTTTTCTAACTCCCCTAGGTGTACCCTCCATACCGACCAACCCGGTTACAGAGCTGGACATTCGCTTTACGTCCTCTCAATTTCGTAAACAACACCCTCTCCGCAAGAAGGCAGTGGTTGTACGCAGGTGGCCATGTGAGAGCATTTCGAGAGGGAGAGTTGACTTGCCCGACTGTCGGCTGTACCAGGGTATTTGGGGGCCGTAGCTCATGTTCAAAGGATGTTCGTATGGCACTTGCTCATCCAAGATCCTGGAGCTCATGAGAAACACTGGTTTGGAATTAGTTTTTAAACTCCCAAAAACGAATCGTTTATACCAATAAGTTATATCACATATTCACTTTTATCAATTTACCTGTGCAGAAGCACTCTAATCACGTGAGTATAATGATTAAAACATCTACGGGAAAAGGTAAAAACGTACAACCACAACAGGGCCTTTCGAGTGAGATGATGAACTTTCCGATGCGCTTTAATAATAGGTTTCATGAATCAGATGATAGGGGATAAAAATGTAAAATATTCTTTCAAAAATCAAGTTTAATTATCTTATTTAGCCTTTTTATGTCTGATATGATGGGAAGAAAAGTCAATCGACAAGACATATCAGTGGCGACGGGGATTTTTGAAAAAGTTGAGAAGTCATATCAGTGGCGACAGGGGTTTTAAGAAAAAAAAGAAAGCAATAACAATTTGGCGACGGAAATTTTGAAAAAACGGAAACCACAACAATCACTAACAGAGTCAATTTACAAGTTCCAGTTTCCAATATAACTATCTGGTTGCAGTTATAACTCACTAGTCAGTTTAACGTACCCCAAATCCCGTTCCCTCATTTATAAACATATTTCTGCTTTTATTTAACATGTCGCTGTTACAAAAAACGATGCGGTTACTTTTAAAAGAACATGACAATTTCAGCCGTAGAAGTAAAACCAATGATTTAGCTTAATGAAGATGTATTTATTAAATCTCAATTAATGATCATAAGTGCATTGAGAGTGGGGAGAGTCCGCTCTCCCTCTCCAAATGCTCTCACATGACCACGCGTATATAGCCTCTGCCAGGGAAGTCCTACTCACCGCCTTCTCGTGGCAGGTGTTTTTTATGGAAATAAGAGGACGAAAAGCGAATGTCCTGCGCTTTCACCGGATCCCAAACCAATGGTGCACATGGGCTGGCTCCAGTATCCCAAAGGAACAAATGACGTATTAACCAATCGTTGGTCACCGGCTAACATGGGACTGCATCTCCTTACGATGCTCCATTGTCTTGTGGGTCAGACGTTCAGGTCGAAGGCTCGGGTTGTGGCCCCCTAAGAAAACCACCTGCCTCGGTCTGGGCACCCGAGCTGTATCACAGCCCACACACAAATAGAATTTTCTGTGGCGCATATCTATTTGGTGCCCTCTTGTATCAATATTTATTTGTTCAAATAAATAATAAGTAAAATCAGGTCAATAAAGTCATATTATTAGTAACGTGGGTACATGAAGATCCGACATTGTTTCATAGAGGAGGATAAAGTCGGGATCTAAACTTTGAGTTGTCGAAAAAAAGAAGGGGAGGTGATATGATGGGAAGAAAAGTCAAAATAAGATTGATTTACTTATTATGAGTCTTGTTCAACATTACTTCCGTTTTGATTCAATGTGATGATTATTCAGTGTAGTATTCGGTTTTGTTTTCCTTTATGACATTTTATTCTGTATAACACACGATATTCTTGTATTCAATTGACATGAACTATGCTCAGTATGTGATTTGTTATATGTAATTTCATCCTAATTATTAATCAAAGTGTGTGTACAATCAATATATAAATGAGTGTGTTTCTCGACTAAGGTTGTCGTCATCGTCGCGTTTTGGCGGTTAATAAATCTCCACTTATATCAGTCTGTGTTCTTCCTTCCGTGTCGTGGGAATTGTAGAGGTCCCTCGTTTTGAGCATAAGTGATAAGCGTTTCCGACACAACAAACAGCGACGACTAGATATAACAAGTAGCATTCAAACAACAAGACATATCAATATCAGTACTGAGATTAATTAGGATTCACTTTGTTGTTATTTGATTTTCAATACAAATGTCAAGACAGTTCTACTCTATGGGGCGGAAACCTGGAGGACTACGAAAGCCATCATCAAGAGGATACAGGTGTTTATTAACAGTCGTCTACGCAAAATACTTCGGATCCGTTGACCGGACACTATCAACAACAACCTACTGTGGGAGAGAACAAACCAGACATGAGCGAAGGAGGAAATCAGGAAGAAGTACTGGAAGTGAATAGGACACACATTGAGGAAAGCACCCAACTGTGTCACAAGGCAAGCCATCACTTTAAATCCTCAATGCCAAAAAAGAATAGGAAGACCAAAGAACACATTACACCGGGAAAACGAGATAGATATCAGAAAAATGAACAAGAATTGGATGGAACTAGAAAAGAAGGCCCAGGATAGAGTGGATTAGAGAATGCTGGTCGGCGGCCTATGCTCCATTAGGAATAACAGGAGTAAGTAAGTAAGTAAGTAAGTAAGTAAGTAAGTAAGTAAGTAAGTAAGTAAGTAAGTAAGTAAGTAAGTAAGTAAGTAAGTAAGTAAGTAAGTAAGTAAGTAAGTAAGTAAGTAAGTAAGTAAGTAAGTAAGTAAGTAAGTAAGTAAGTAAGTAAGTAAGTAAGTAAGTAAGTAAGTAAGTAAGTAAGTAAGTAAGTAAGTAAGTAAGTAAGTAAGTAAGTAAGTAAGTAAGTAAGTAAGTAAGTAAGTAAGTAAGTAAGTAAGTAAGTAAGTAAGTAAGTAAGTAAGTAAGTAAGTAAGTAAGTAAGTAAGTAAGTAAGTAAGTAAGTAAGTAAGTAAGTAAGTAAGTAAGTAAGTAAGTAAGTAAGTAAGTAAGTAAGTAAGTAAGTAAGTAAGTAAGTAAGTAAGTAAGTAAGTAAGTAAGTAAGTAAGTAAGTAAGTAAGTAAGTAAGTAAGTAAGTAAGTAAGTAAGTAAGTAAGTAAGTAAGTAAGTAAGTAAGTAAGTAAGTAAGTAAGTAAGTAAGTAAGTAAGTAAGTAAGTAAGTAAGTAAGTAAGTAAGTAAGTAAGTAAGTAAGTAAGTAAGTAAGTAAGTAAGTAAGTAAGTAAGTAAGTAAGTAAGTAAGTAAGTAAGTAAGTAAGTAAGTAAGTAAGTAAGTAAGTAAGTAAGTAAGTAAGTAAGTAAGTAAGTAAGTAAGTAAGTAAGTAAGTAAGTAAGTAAGTAAGTAAGTAAGTAAGTAAGTAAGTTGTGGCTATTTATAGTTTAAATGAATATATGAAGTGATAGTACATTCACAGCCGTAACTTATATCATAATTGGATAATTTAATGAGTTTAAAGTTTCGGCATTCTTAAACAATGGGATAGACTTAAATTCCAATAGAATTATCATTCCAAAGACAAAATTATCCAACCAAGAACTTTTACAAACAAAGAATAAACTCCACTGGTCACTACTTCTCACTAGAGTTCCACACTATGACGTAACGGCCGTTCAGTGTTTCAATGTTTTCATTGATGACCTAGCATACATCGACTAATGAATTCAACTATAAAATTACTAAAATCTCCATAAAACCCCCTTATGAAAGGATAAACTATCAGAATATATTATTGTAATAACATCACTTAATAAGTAGTATAATTTTTCAACACTAAAAATAGATAAAGCTACGGTAAATTAACTTACAAAAGTGTATACTTGTGGTTTTTTAACTTGAAGCACAATACCACCATCTGAATAAGGAAACTGGATGTCCTTTATAGACGTTGTGATAATCAGCTCTGAAGGCGACTTTACTATAATGAATACAGAGGAAAACAGGAAAGGGATTAAAAGTGATGATCTAGGATAGATAACACTTTAGGAACATATAATATATAACATAACATAACAAAACGTCATGTGGTTGATTAGCTTCCTTTGTTAATACGTGGAACTAGAATCGTCAGAATGCCAAACAATATATACTTTATGAGTATTCGACGACAAAATGTAACGAAAAATCTTAGAATACCACATACCTCGGATAGGAAATTCTCTTTCATTGAGCATTGGTAAATTCTTAAGTTCAGTGAATCGAATTACATCATTATTTTCTAAATGATGGCGACGATCACCAAGGACTGTGACCAATAATTCCTCATCGTTTATCTAGATAAAAAGAATATAATGAACATTAGTCTATGTTTACTTGAGTGGATTTCGGAGATTAGTTCAATGTCAGTCGGTCAACTACAACGTAGGATCAGGCACATATATGCATCAATCCATGTTGCCATACCGCATTAGCACAACAACATGAACACCGGATTCGTAGAAGTAGTTATTTCGATGATGGCAATATTTAAAAGAAAAAATAAATATAAAGACATAGAACAGGAAGAGAGAATTAGTTCGTAACAAGAAAGATATGAAACGACAAAGAGTTTATACACCAACGCCATTCTGATCGATTTTGAGCCATGTCACCAAGAGTCTCCAACCATTGGTTACGATAGTCACGCGGACCCCAACCAAGTAGTCTGCATCTGCCAACATGGCTCACACTAGAAGTTAGTGACTTCACGCACTGATTCCACGTTTTGGTTTGGCCGTCCCTAACTTTCTTCCAATTATCCCCTACACTAGTCAGCATTGCGCGTCGTGGTAATCGGTGTTCAGGCATACGCAGAACGTGGCACAACCATCTCAGTCGATCAAGATTCATAACCTCATCAACTGATTTACCATCATTCCCTAATACTCTGCGTCTAGCCTCATTATTACTTACCCGGTGATCCCAGCAGATGTGAGCAATATTTCTAAGGCATCTGTGGTTCAATGTGAAGAGGGTGCGAATTACGGATGACGTCAGATAGGAAACCAGTGAAAAACAAGGAAGAACAAATATTCATAAATTCATAAAAAGAACTAACTGTATGAAAAACAAGGAACACTGAGCAACTATTTCATCCTAGTTCTGAACTGTTAAAAATTTTGAACCCTTGGTTCTTGAAAAAACTGATTCCAGAACGTTTAAGTTGTGTGACGAGTTCGTCGGCTTTATATTTACAATTTACCATACAAAATGACGAAGCTTATTCTTTTTCGTTTTAGTTCGTTCATTTCTGTTACTAACTTGAGTATTAAGTAGTTAAGAATAATAATGAAAATATGCATTTGCAAGATATTTAACAAGCTTAAGATATTTAAATTTTCATCGTCTTCATGCTCGTTTCTGTACATGTTACTTAATAGAACTGATTTCGATGAAAAAATTATACTGCCTTGCAATGACCTTCATTAATTTCAATAACGTTGGTATGTCGTTCGAACGTGTAACTATTAAATTATGGAGCGGATATTCAACAGAACTGGAATTGAATGAAATACGAAGACTAGTCAGTTAATTAAACACATCTTCCATAGTAATAAAACGAACGACTTTTTAAGCTTCGTCACTACTTCTAATTAGGTTTCAACAAGTAAGGTTGCAAGGAACACCTTTATCGTGCTTTACGTTCATGAGTAAGTCACTGAAACATTTATGAGCATGAATCATTGTCAATGCTTGAAATACGAGAAGAAAAGGAATGTATTACTGGAAATGAGTAATTTATAGCCCAAATACTATATAAATGCTTGAAATAATACATAGTTGTGCTAAGCCCCCAAATGCCCTGGTATGGCCGAGAGTGGGGGGAGTCCGCTCCTCCTCTCGAAATGCTCTCACATGGCCACGCGTATACAGCCTCTGCCAGGGAAGTCCTACTCACTGCCTTCTCGTGGCGGGGGTGTTGTTTACGAAAATGAGAGGACGAAAAGCGAATGTCCGGCGCTATAACCGGATCCCAAACCAATGGTGCACATGGGCTGGCTCCAGTATCCCAAAGGAACAAATGGCGTACGAACCAATCGTTGGTCACCGGCTACAATGGGACTGCATCTCCTCACGATGCTCCACTGCCTTGTGGATCAGATCTTCAGGTCAAAGGCTCGGGGTGTGACCCCCTAAGAAAACCACCTGCTTCGGTTTGGGCACCCGGGAAGTATCACAGCCCTCATACATATCAAATGAGATCTGTGTGGCGCATATGTATTTGGTGCCTTCTTGTACCGATATCTATGTGTTAAAATAAATAAATAATAAAAAATAAATAGTTGTGCTAACATCTACTATTTTATTGTTACATAAGTACCTTTTCAATTTTTCCAATAAAAAATTCTCTACATGGTTCGTCATCTTGTGTTAAAACAGTAAAATCAGAGCCAAAATCACAAAACAAATTTCCAAATGCACCATATATATCTGTATAGATAAACTGGGAAGGAAAATAAAACAAAACTGAAGGTAACTAGAATTAACTTTTAAGTTTAAATTCATCATAAACAATTCAGGTTCAGATTATAACGGTGAAAAACTTACCCTCTGATACAATGAAATAAACTAACTGACTATGATAAGTAAATAACAATCAGCGAGCATCGTCAGTCTGATAAAATCAAATCCAGCCCCCATACTCTGGTTATAATCTGTCAACCTAAATGCTACAACTGGACCATCATTTTCGAATACCTTTGGTGAAGATATTGCTTCTTAATTATGACCTTTTCAACTACGCTGAAAAGTGAGGGTGCGATGTCAACCTACCATTTAGGTTGTTGATACGTAAAAGGTAATTAGAGTAGCTAGAAGCCATTTGAACTGTTTCTCACAGCGATCCTCTCACTATTTAAGTCACCTCGTCTGGAAATTAATTAATACTTGATCCTCATTAACGAGTTTATTGTTACCTATCACTGTTCCTATTTCCGTCTCCTAGTTCATTTTCAAAAGGTTTGCTAGTTTCGGCTTCTTTGGATCTAGTGCGGCACAGACAACTGTATATGCGCAAGATTAACTCAAGTTTTGTTACAGGTTCACAGGCGAATGATACTTGGTGAGTGAATACACCTTGAATGAGAGACTATTAGCATTAGAAGCTATGTCAACCTAGAAGGGTGACCACAGAATACTGAAGGGCAATTGCTTGTACCTTATCATTACGACATAACACTGTTTGTAGACGGTGCTAGAATGCAATGACAAGCAATAAAGCTATTGGTAACTACGGAACGAACATTTAATTTTTTACAATAAGGAACAACAGTTAACTCACTTTAATATCATATGCTCTGCAGAATAGATCCAACAATGTAGCTTTTTTAAGTGAACATTGCGTCAGTATCAAACACTAGGAAAGAAATTGGTGAAACCAGTTATTTTAGTAGCAAATTTACAGTTAATTTAAATCATATACACAATGGATAAGATTTTTATTTTATTTGAAACACATAACTATTGGTACGGATAAGCACCAAAATATATCATACAAATAACAAACTGACACCAGTCAAAGTAGCATTGAAAATTAGACATAAATTAGCTGTTCTGTCTAAATTTGGAACTTCTCAAATTTTGCCTCAATGATTTAAAAGATACAACGTTTTCTAAGGTGACTGATAGAGTACGAATTAGTCTTGACGAAAGTTATGTGTATGCAATACCATCGTAGAATAGAATAGCATTAAGAAAGTCTTTATCGTGACCAATTTCACAGTTTTTATATAGAAAAAATAAAACCAAAAATCTTACATCGACTTTCATAGATGATCCTTCACCGACTAATGTCTTTAGGATATTATTATTAGCAGGATCAGAAAGAGGGCAACGAATATCCGTCACATCTCCCGTTTCTAAAGTAATACGAACATACGGATTTAAAGCCGTTAGACGATCAAGACTTGCTTCAGCTCTGAATGTTTGAAAAAGATAAAAAGAAATAAAAGAAAGTAATACTGGTAACTGAAGCAAATTTCGAATCTGTAATCAAATCAAATATTTAAGCTAATGAGACGAATAAAAGGAAAAACATTTATAACCACGTTTTTGATTCACCAAATGCAGATTCGTGTATTTGACTGCGAACCACACTCTATGTTTGGAGGGTTCATGATACCATTTGGTCGCCTAAACCAAAATAAATGGAGCGAGGACTGAACCTGTGACTTAGTGGCTGAACCGAACGCCATAGAAATCGAGCCAATGTAAAATAATGTTATTAATGACAAACAACATAAAGCATTAAACTTAAAGCCCAAAGTACTGGTTTATTTGGATGATTTAGCTGGCGTGTAGTTCACATTGGATTGGGAAAATTAAAAATTAGAGGTTAAGAGTTTACTTGCCATATCTTTTTATCGAATTTTATGTTTAAGTGAACTAATTATTTACATTTCTTTACGTTTTGCCTTCACTCCATTTTGTGATTTGAACCCAGAGTTTGATCATGCACTTGGCTTAACATCTAATAATGCCGAAAATGTGTTGACTGACATATGAATACAAAAAAGGCATTTTCGCTCAACCCTGTAAAAACTGTGTACTCCATGCAAAAAATTTGAAACTGGTTCTTTTATAATTCTTTAGAAAATAACTGTCAGGTAATTTATTTTATTAGAAGTAGATGAATGGCAGTCAAGCCTCTCACGAAGTTTTGTAAGCAAAATTTGTCATAAAGGTGTGGCTTCTGGAATGTCATTCAATAATGCTATCTTGTAGACCCATATACGGACGAAAAGCGATTGTCCGGTGCTATAATCGGATCCCAAACCAATGGTGAACATGGGCTTCAGTATCCCAAAGGAACAAATGGCGTATGAACCGATTTCTTGGTCACCGGCTATCATGGGACTGCATCTCCTTACGATGCTTCACTGTCTTGTGGGTCAGATCTTCAGGTCGAAGGCTCCGGGTGTGGCCCCCTAAGAAAACCACCTGCTTCGGATTGGGCACCCGGGCATCATCACAGCCCTCACACAAATCAATTGAGATTCGTGTGGCGCATATGTATTTGGTGCCTCCTTGTACCAATACCTGTGTTAAAACAATAAAATAAATAAATAATACACAACAAGCGTAGGTTCTTTCAATCGCCATCAAAAGCATTACGCGACCAGATTTAAGTCTCATATGTTAGTGAATTCAAGTGCCATGAGTTTAAACGTGAACTTTCGACAAAATAAATAAAACCAAGAAAAATTAAAATGATCAGTCAAAATTTTACCTGGTTTCAGAACCTTTAACACTATGATCATCCACATAAAATTGAGTCCCTAAATCCTGTTTGGAACATAAAGATCCGTCCTGGACTATAAGTTCACCAACTCCAGCCAGAATTAGATTTTTCGCTATTTGTGATGTAATTACTAATAAAATAATATACCTATTTCTATTCCAACACCTCCCAAGCCATGTAAAAATACTCTGGATTTACACATTCTCTTCATTGCATTTTCTCCCAGAACACATCTTTGACGGCTGCAAAAGAAATATCATTTTACGGGAGACCTAACCTGTATAGTGAGTCATCGATATCACAAGACATGTTATGTAACGCAAACACAAAATCAGCCGCCAAGGTCAGTGGGACAAAAGGTTTTAATTGTTATGCAAGGAATAAAAGCTTTCTTTTAACTTGTTTCCGTATGTACTAAAAGGATGCTTCCAAGTACAGACCCAGGTTTATTGGTGGATAAACATATAAATATTCCTTACTAATTCATTCATTTGATAAAACGAAATGTAGCTTCCTTTCCAAGCGTTCCTGCTTGACTAACTTACTTATTGCGAGAGAGGACTGGGCAACAGCACTAATTAACGATCTGTCTGTCGCTGTGATACTCCTAGATTTTAGCAAAACATTCTACAAGATTTCACGCCTAAGTCTTATGCAGAAACTCTCGACCTTCGAAATACTAGGTGCTGTACAGCAATGGATAGGAATCTTCTTATGTGACCGCAGACAGATAGTCAAGGTCAGTGGAACGCCATCCGTATGAAAGCCGTTCAAAACTGGTGTACCTCAAGACACTATCTCAAGCTCTCTATTTCTCCTTCTTTACGTCAATGAGTTACAATTGTTGCTTAAGTCGTCAACATTATTGTTTGCGGATGATGCAAAAATCTGGAGAACAATAGAAAATGAGGCTGAATATTTTGATCTGCGCCGATTTAGAAGAATTAGTTATATGGGCTCAATTGTGGGGCTTGTAGCGATAAATAATTCCCCAAAATAAATAGCTCAGTAAGTTTTCGATATAGGATGCTGACCATATTAGTTTTAATGAACTCATCTAGCTGAAGACGCTCGGTCAAGCATCCGAACCAGATCACGTGTGGGAACGCCGTGCTCAACATCTACTGCAATCGCTAGCCAGATTAGTGCAAACGATCCTCGATATATTGATAGCTTATCAAATATATCCTCGAACCTCCTTGCTTCTGTCTTTTGGTTTTACTTGGTGAGTACGCTTCATATTAGGTGTTACTGGTTCAAGCGTTGTCAAACTCCGAATACCTGTGGCATCTTCATTGGTGAGCTCGACGTGATCTGGTACACTAAATTGAAAATTGTGAGTCTGTTCCTTTTTGGGATTTTATATATCATTGCCTTATTCTGATTTTTTATACATTGTCTTATTTTTTCCTCGTGTTTTTGGATATATATATTTCCCACTCGTTCATTTTCGTACTTGATATTTCACTATGACTGAACAGACCCCTAAAGTATTTAAGTTAAAGACTGTGTCCCCATCTTCCTTCCAACTTATGCCCTTCTGACCAGACAACATCAAAGCCTGGTTTTGCTACGCAGAAGCCGACTTCTACGAGCACGGTGTGAACGATACACGTGCACAATTCCTCGCAGTTGTCAAGGCACTACCGCGCGAATTCAACAGGCACGTAACACCTAGTATGTTTACTAGTGATGTTTCTGAACCATACCAAACGTTAAAACATGCCATCCTCAAACGCGGAGATCTAACCGATCGACAAAGGTATGACCAACTCCTTAACAACATCGACCTGCAACACGGCTCAGCCACAGACATGTTGCAAAGAATGAGAGAAGTTATTGGCCAATGAACCTTCGATGATGGTCTGTTCAAACAGCTTTTCTTATCAAAAATTCCTCAACAGGTGCAAGCTGTGCTGGTCTCGTTTCAAAACAACGCCGTAGACGAGCTGGCTGCATCTGCCGACCGTATCCTCGAAATCACAAAATCTTCTAGTGCCGAGGTTTTTCAGTCAAAGAAAAGCCTCAAACGACCCAGAATGACACAACAGAATTATGTCATACACTTACACGTTATTTTCAACTTCGTAACGACCGTAAACGGTCACTTACCTTGCGAAGAAGCACGTCACGTAGGCGGTCGGTATCCAGACCTCGAGAGATGGATAATCCTGACTGGTGCTGGTATCATAACCAGTATGGAAAGTCCTCCAGAATTTGTAAAAAAACCCTGCAATTTTCTCACTGCGAAATCGTTCGACGCGAAGAATGTTTCGGGAAACTTCCAAGCCGGCACGCGTTAACGGCAACGTAGCCGGCGAACATAGCCGTCTGTTATACTTCACAGATGTGATAACGAGAGTTCGCTACCTCGTCGAGACTGACGCAGAAGTTAGCGTTCTCCCAGCGAATTCCAACGACCGGCTTCACGAGTCGGTTTTAAATCTACAGACGGCAAACGGAAAGCCTATCGCTGGGTATGGCAAAATGTATGTTTATCTTAACGTGGGTTTACGCAAACCCATTCACTGGATCTTTGTTGTTGCGAATGTTTTTGTTCCAATCATTGTTATAGACATTCTACAGCACCACAACTTAATCATCGATATGCGCAAACGGAGGCTAGGAGATGGAAATACCAAGTTATCTGTTTGCGTAACTTCTTTTTCTGGTTGCAGGTTATCTCCAGTCACAATTAAGCACACTACAGACCCCTTCTACCAACCAATACTCGATAAGTATCCTAGCATTTACAAATTGCAACCGAAATTGCTGTGTGTAACCAGCAACGTTACACATCACATCACGACTAAAGGACCACCTGTATTCTCTAAAGCACGCCGACTGGCCCCCGAAAAACTAAGGCTGGCGAAAAACGAATTTGACCATATGATAGACTTAGGAATCATACGACTGTCAAATAGCCCATGGGCATCCCCGTTGCCCATGGTCCCTAAAAAGGACAGTGACGATTGGCGTCCAACTGGTGACTATGGCGACTGAATGCAAAAACAATTACCGATCGTTACCCGTTGCCTCACATTCACGATTTGACAGCTACCTTGAAAGGTACAACTGTCTTTTCGAAAATCGACTTGGTTAAAGCGTATAACCAAATTCCTATGACCACTGACGATATTCCAAAAACCGCTACTATAACGCCCTTCGGACTCTATGAATTTTCGGGAATGCCTTTCGGTCTAAGAAACGTGGCACAGACTTTCCGTAGGTCCATAGATGACGTTTTTCGAGGTCACAACTTCGTACATGCGTACGTCGATGACTTCCTAATAGCAAGTACGGACAGAGAATCACATCTCCAGCATCTGGATATTGTTTTCGATCGACTACAAAAGTATGGCATTACTGTAAACATTCAGAAATGCCAAATCGGAACCGACCCCTTGGACTTCTTAGGACACACTATCGATGAGCAAAGAATCCGACCCCTTAGAGCAAAAGTGGCGGCCATTCTGGATTATCCAGAACCGACCACCATCAAGCAATTGCGCACGTTTAACGGTCTGGCGAGTTTTTATAGACGATTCATACCAAAATGCTTACTTATGAAACCTCTTACCGACCAACTTCGTAGAAATGCGAAATCCATCAAGCTGGATGACACCGCGTGTAAAGCATTCTCCACAGTTAAGGCACGTACCGCTCAAGCAACCATGCTTGTTCATCAGCACCCTGAAGCACCCATTAGTATCGCAGTAGACGCATCCAACTCAGCAATCGGAGCAGTCTCACAACAATGGGTTAACGACTCCTGGCAACTTTGGGCATTTTTTTCTAGACGGTTGCTAGACACTGAATCGAGGTACAGCACATTCGGTAGGGAACTCCCAGCTATGTATTGTGCTGTACGGCATTTTCAACACTCTATCGAAGACCGTGAATTCACCATTTTTACTGACCATAAACCACTTACTTTCTCCTCAAGCTCATCTTCAGACAAGCACTCACCTCGTGAGTCTCGACAACTGGACTACATTTCGCAGTTTACTTCAGATATTCGACACATTTCTGGAGCAAACAATGTAGTTTCAGACGCCTTGTCTCGTATAAATTCCTTGAACAGTTCCCAAGGAATCGACCTTTTAAAACTCGCCCAACTTCAAAAAGAAGACAGTGATCTTCAGCACGAGTTGTCCTCAACAACATTTAAACTGCGCATTAAACAGGTGGGAACAGGTAACGAAAACTTACTTTGTGACACATCTACAGGTAGGGATCGCCCAATCGTGCCGAAATATTATCGATGCAACGTCTTCAATACGTTGCACAGACGTTCTCATCCAGGTGTTCGCGCAACCATCAAGCTTATAGCAGAACGGTTTTGCTGGCCTGGTATGAATAAAGACGTGAGGGAGTGGGCACGCTCCTGTGTAAGCTGCCAGAAATCTAAGGTGATTAGACATAACGGCTGTTGCCTAAGCTCGTTTAAAACTCCCGATGCACGCTTCGACCATGCTCATTTGGATTTGGTAAGACCTTTACCAGATTCAAATGGATATTCTTATCTCTTAACATGCGTAGACCGTCTTACTCGATGGCCAGAAGCAGTACCCATCAAAGACATTACTGCTGAAACAGTGGCCCGCGCCTTCGTCGAACGATGGGTAGCAAACTTTGGCTGCCCAACAACCATCACTACAGATCGTGGACATCAGTTTGAATCTGAACTGTTCAGTTGTCTGACCGCGAAACTAGGAATCACTCTCTTCCGAACGACGGCCTACCACCCACAAGCAAACGGGTTAGTAGAACATTTTCACCGTCAACTAAAAGCGTCACTATCAGCTGCAAACATTTCTCAGTGGACTGACGCTCTCCCACTCGTCTTACTAGGCATACGCGATGCAGTGAAAGCTGACATTGTATACACTGCATCTCAACTCGTTTATGGTAAGACCCTTCGACTTCCAGGAGAGTTCGTGGATCCTTCATCCTATTCGATGGACATGGATCTAACCTCCTACACGAACAGGCTTACAAACGCAATGCGTTCAGTTAAACCTGTTTCCACTCGACCACAATCAACTGATGTTTTCGTTCAACCTGACTTACGACATAGTACACACGTTTTCGTACGTCGAAACTCGAATCGACGACCTCTCGAATCAACATATGAAGGACCTTTCAAAGTTCTTCAAAGCGAATCTAAGTACTATGTAATCGATAAGAACGGGACCAACGAAAGCATCAGCATCGAACTCTTCAAAGCAGCATATTTAGAAGGAAATCCTATTCACGTCGATTTTCCTTCAATACAATCGCACGACACAACTCATGCCCTTATAACACCTCAATCGACAGCAGACACACACGTTGATACTTCGA